TGAATCCCCAGAAAATCCTCAAATATTCTTGCAAATCTCAAAGATATTAAGGCGTTAGCCCCCCTTCTTCCCCATTTAGACCTTTGAAGGCTGGTGTGACTAGAATGATTTTGGAGTTATAGCTCAGAGTCTGAATAAAAAATGAAGGGAAGCATTTTGCAATACTGTAGCCAGTACAATAACTAATTACTTATAGATTTTAGGTCACATTTGAAAAAGACAAATACTGAAATAAATGGATAATCATTTGGAGCTACCACTAACAGTTTGTTTAAATACTTTGGGTTAAATTCGGCGCTGCATCACGGGAGAGCAGCCGCCTGCATCGATGCACATTCCAGCTTTGTACTGGTACCAGTGAGAGCCAAACTGGCTTCTTTGCTTGGATCAGAAACACCTGTAGCTCGGGCTTGTGTGCTGCACTGGATGGGCCTTTACTGGACCATGCCAGTGGGAAGAGAGTTAACCAGGCAAAGCATGACCAGTTCTGACACCAAGTGAAACAGGAAAAATATCTGAGGGTTTTGAGGTCAGATGCTGCCTTCCACCATGATGTTTAGCAGAAAAAGTTAAGAAACATTTTGTCAGATTTGTGGTGATGGGATCTGACTCTGTGAAAAACAGAAGACTTCAGAAGAGAGGGGTAAAAATACAATTAGTGACCCATATATTATGTGATGAGTTCAATCTTTAGATATGGCCAGCATGCATATTAAAATTTTCACCTGTATATAATATGAGCAGAGGAGTCATTCCTTTATTATTGTTGTCATTTACTGTGATGGCTTTAATGTACTTCAAAGAACAACCACCCTCAGACAGAACAAATCCTCAGCTGTGAGCCAAATGAAATTGCCTTTTTTACATTTGCAACTGGAATCAGCAATAATTTTGTTAAGGTGAGATGTGTTATGGATGCATTCAGCATAAACTTCAGGCTTTGGAAACCTGGAGAACTGGCTTTTAGTTAGTAAACATTTTGCTCTTCAGCAGCCCTGTGTGCCTGGGCGGTGCTTTGAATTGCCTGTGACTCCTGTTGAGGCTATGAAAACTGCACCCAGTCTCTCATCAAACTCCATGGGCCACCTGCAGCCTTCTCCTTGCATCATTTTTCTGTGGTTTGACAGTAATGACCATATAGAGACATGGCAATGATTAGATAAATACTCTTTATTTATTAGCACACATTCTCAGCAGGATCCTCTGTGATCTAAATCTACGATGGTGAGAAACCTGCACCGTGGTGCAGAGCTGAGCTTTCCAGATCCGACTGTCCATGGCAGAGGTGTTGTCTGGGGACAAGCGTCTCCGCACCACGGGGCTGGGACAGCAGCAGCCTGGGTGCCTGCCTGTGCAGCGGCTGGCAAGGGTGGCACGTGTCTCCTCCCTTCCCAAGGGACACTGGATGGGAAACTTCACTTCAGCTGCTTCCCTGCAGATTTCGGTGTGTCCTTCCAGCCATGGCACATATCCCACAGACTCTGGCTGCTCCTCCTTCCTTCACAGTTGACAGAAAGCCCGATTTTCTCCCCAAAGGAGAGAAGTCCCAGCTGGGTGCCAGGCAGCTTCTATGAAATGTTCATCTTCTTGGAAAAGCAGGGACGAGCGTCAGATATGTTGGAAATTATGTTTTAGGGCTCCAGAGAAGATTTGCGTCTTCAAGGGTCTTGCTAACTGACCTCAGAAATACATGTGAGTCAGTGAGATGGGGAGACAAACTACCCAAACCCCCCCAATTCTCCCCACCCCAAATCTCTTCAGATCACGAGGAGTGGTCATGGACAGGGATGGGAACATCTGGAAATAACAACATTCCTGAGGGAAAGTATTCCTTTTTAATTAATTGTATCCCTTTTATCCATGACAGTGTAATTGCATTTTGCTTAACTGAATCTTTTTAATTGGTGCTGGGAGTGAATGATAAGCAAAGCTGTACAATTCCTTATTAGCTATTATAGATAGCTCTTTTAGGGCAGTGTAGGATGGTTAGTTGAGAGACTTAGAAGCTGGGGCCGAATAGGACCGAGCGGGCTATTTTGGGAGGAAGGTTGTGTGGGCATGCAAGCCAGCCTCTCCATCTCAGGCTACCCATTTTTGTAGACCCAAGAGGATTTTTCATTGCTCACCAAGTATCCCATGGTGAGTTGTGGCACTCTTCCTGCCCTGATGGACCTTCCCCTGGGCTGAAGTGGATGCGTGGGGCATGAGTGCCCTCCAAACCTGCTGCCCGGGGTCCCGGTGCTGGGTTTCGCCCTCCAAGTGCCACGGCTGCGACGTGTGTCCTGCCCTCACAGCGGCGAGCCTGGGGGTGAGCTGTGCCGCTGCCCCTCCTCTGTCCCTCCCAGGGGACACCTCTGACATGCTGGTGAAATCTGGGGGTTTGCCTTAAAGAGAGTGATTCTAGCTATGTTTCCAGCAGAGGGAAAAACCTGTAAAACCGTCCCCGGTGCTTGGCAACGTCCCATAAACCAGCAGGCACAAGAGACTGAATTACAAAGGTATTTTCCACTCTTATTTTTCAAAATCCCTTTCTGGGAGGACCGGCTGACCACAGCTGGAGTTTCCGAAGACTGAGAAACCACCACAGCCTGCCTCACCCCATTAGACAGAGCGCCCTGCTCTGGGGTTTGGGGCCTCGCTGCGTGTGCCGTCAGTCCCCTGAACAGAAAAACCCCACGGTTTTGTCCTTCCCCGTGACACAGGTGGGGCATCACGGGCACCCTCCGGCTGCCCCCGCCCTCCCGCTCCCGGGATGCGCAGGAGCCACGATTCTGCGTGGGAGATCGCAGCAGCCGGGCCGGGCCGGGATGAGCCGAGCCGCGCCGGGATGAGCCGGGCCGGGCCGGGATGAGCCGAGCCGGGATGAGCCGAGCCGGGCCGGGATGAGCCGAGCCGGGCCGGGATGAGCCGAGCCGGGATGAGCCGAGCCGGGATGAGCCGAGCCGAGCCGGGATGAGCCGAGCCGAGCCGGGATGAGCCGAGCCGGGCCGGGCCGGGCCGGGCGGCACCGCGGGACTCCCGGCACAGCGGCCGAGGAGCGGGTGGCGGCCCTTGAGCTCCCCTTAGTGTCGGGAAGAAGCATTTTTAATAAATACACGTCGTGTGTGGAGATCGCCGTGGTGGGCGCCGGTAGCTCACCGCCGTTGGGTTACTGGGGGGGCCCCGGGGCTCATCCCGCGGGTCCCGTCGCGCCGGTGGCACCCCCGGTAGCCGTAGCCCTCGTTGGGAAACGTTTGACACAGGAATTGACATAAAGATAATTCGGGTCTGGCTGTCACCATGCTAGTTTTTGTGTTTGATTGTTTGCTTGTTTGCTTTTTTAGCTTGTTTGGTTGTTTTTTGTTTGTTTTGTTTTGTTTTGTTTTGTTTTTTATTTTTTTTGTATAGTTTGTGGTTTGGGTTGTTTTGTTTTGTTTTTTTTTTTTTTTTGGTTGGTTGGTTGTTTTTTTTCCCAGTGGTTTTGAAACAAATCAGGGATTTTTTCTTTTTTTTTTTTTTTTTTTTTTGCTTTTTAGAATTAAATAACGGCTTTTCTTCTCTCTGCCAAAACACAACAAAGCATTGAGTATGGCAATTTATAGAAGGTGAGGAGCTGCCACAGAAATCTGTCATTTGAATTATGTGTGGAATTTAGTGTGAACTGAATCTGCTAAAACAGGACTATGAAATTTTATTTCTGGCACCTGGACTCTTGCAGGAAGCAAGCCTGCAGCCTCACAGCCCCCATGACTCCTTCAGCGTACCTACCTCTTACAGGGACTGGGAAGAATTTCTTCCTGCTTTAATGACACTACTGACTTCTTTCTGGTTTCACACTGGTTTGGACAGAAGAGGATCAGATGTCAATTGTGCCGCCACCACCTAGCATCCTCTGCTGTTTATTCACAGCTGGGCAGTGCTTCTCCAAGAGGATCCATCAGGACTGACACAGTCAGGGAGTGTGAAATTACAGGCACCATGACTCGGCCACAGCAGTCCCCTCCAGTGGATACTATTTCTTGCACGTGGCACATCCTGCACTGGGCTCGGTTCTTCTCTTGCAGTTCAGACATGCTCTGCTTTAGCAGGCAGAAATGGTTGTGTTTAATTCTTGTGTGAGCTTTGTGCCCGCAGCTCTCTGCCTGTCTGGCTGGGTTTCCCTCTCTGGACTGTCTATGCAGAGTGGTTTTATGAAGGCAATGTTTGTTTTCTTGCCAAGCTCTGGTTTTGCCAGCATGGTAATATTAACGCAAGTCCTCATCCTGAGCCCCCTGTTTCCCTTCCCAGACTAGAATGAACTGTACTGCTATAAGCACTTCTCTACTGGTTCCTGCATCCCCCCTGAATGGAGGGGGCTATGCCAATACTGCCAGGCAGCTGCATGTTTTGGCCTGTTCCCCTTTAGCAGTGGCATTCCCAGCCCCTGTGTGCCTGCCTGAGCCACCTTGAATCCTTCATCTTCCTCCTTTAGTCCCTGCAAGATAAATGCCATTTTGTGTACTTGGCACTGAACTCTTCCTTGTCGTCATGGACTCTCCTGGACTGATAGGAAATCTCTCTGACTCCAGGTTTTGCAGATTATCACATCTGCGCTGCAAGGTGAAGTGACAGGGGAGTAGGATAAGCATATCGTGCTCTGGTTTCTGGCCACAGTATTGGACAGTAGCTTGGGTTCTACCTGGTCCTGCTGCACTTAAGAGCAGACTGGCTGGACTATGGTGTCTTTTGCCCTGGGCATGCAGATCTAACCCCTGGTGTCTTGACCATAATCCTGGCACAACTGTTATTTTCTGGATGCCTGTTCTCCAAAAATTAGATTTATGTGAATTTAAGTACAGCCAAAGGGTCACCCCTTTGGTGACTTTCCCTTCACTGGCAGTTTTGTGTGAAGAAAAACATCAAATGTCTCAGCATTTAGCCTGAAAAATGATGAGGAACATACCCCGTTAGCAAGGAAAGTGAGAAAATGGGAAGGTAAGCACCACATGCTGATGTATCAAGGCAAGAATACAGTCTGTAAATCCTTTATTTCCTAACAGTGGAAATGCTTTATTTACATGCTGCCACACAAACAAAGATGAAGGAAACTCGTGCAGGCTCAGCACTGTCTGTGGGAGCCCTGCCCAAAGCTAAGCCCAAAGTGCTGGCACTCAGCGTGCTGTTAGTGCTGGTGGGGTTCCTTACCAGAACAGAAAGCTTTTGTCTCTTCTCATACAGATGATCCACTGTCTGCTTCCACCAGCTCTGAAATAGTTGTTATTCATACCAAAACCCATGGTTTGTATCAGGTGCTCCTTGCCTCCTCTAAACCAGAGACAGGAATGATAAGCATCTCTCCATTTTCCTGTTGTTGAAGGCATCAGGGTAGGCAGTGGAAAACTCTTTGGATTTTCCAGACTTCTTTCCTGAGGCCTGAGACCCCATAACAAATATTTCCTCTGGTTCAAAATGGTAATGAGCTTTGTTGCAGGCAGCACTGCTGCACCCTGCACACCTCTGGGTCTTCACATCAGCCCTGGATGCCCCATTGCCTCCTGCTCTTACCAGCACTGCTTGGTTTTTCCATGTATATCTGGATTTCTAAGCACTAAAAGCAAGTTTTGAAGCTGTGTAGATAAATGTAATTATGACTCACATTAAGTGTGGGGTAAGTTACATGTATTTTTGATGTTTTAAATCAAATGGCCACAAGCAGGTTGTTGCGATGTGCCCAGCTACATGTACACAGGCTACTTGTCACCTGCTGAATGCCCTGTGCTTGTAGAAAAAGAGAAGACTTAGGCCTTAAGAAAGAGAAACCTTTCAGTTATTATCTCACACACATATAAGACTTTCAATTAAGGTAGAAGCCTTTGGTTTAAGGTCTGTATTTTTACTCTGGAAGTTTAATTAGTTGATACTTTCCCATTATTGCTTTTGTTTCTCATCCCTTTGCTTTATTGGAGCATCTAATTTCTAAAGGTATGAAAGACTTAGCTTTATACACCAGATAAGATAAGGCGTATTGTTCCTGGGGAGAGGTCTGAAAACACTGACAGAGAAGGCAGAGGACTTGGCCAGGGTCAAAAATGGGGTCTATGCTAAATCAGGATAGTATAGCACCTGAGTCCCAGCCACTTATTTCTGAGCATCTGCTGTCTTGGGTGTATGCACTTCACTGGGGGTTTTAGGCTCAGATTCACAACTGTGCTGTGATGAAGATGGACTAGCCAGCTCAGCTGCAGTAACTGCCTGTCTCTGCGCACTGATCCTGTTCTCTCTTACTGCACTAAGCTAAAGAGGACCATCCCTCCTCCCCTATGGACTTAGAGGTCGCACACGTGTGAGCTACTACGGATGAGCTGATGTCAGGTAACTGGAAAAGCTGTGAACTGCCTCCTGTGCCTGAGCTCCAGTTGTTTCATGACAGCTGAGATATTTCAGGTTACCTGTGGGTCTTGCAGCCGTTATCAATTTATGGGAAATTCAACTTTCTCTGTCAATATTTTTATGACCTAGTAAAGATATTATAAGCACAGCCTGATGAAAGTGGGTTTGTGTTATGAAGAAGAGCCCCATGGAGAGCAGAGGCAGGCAGCGGCTCCCAGGGCAGCCTCTGTGTCCCATCAAGCACACTCCACGCCAGCATCCTCGCTGTGGGAGCAGTTGTTCACACCCCAGTCAGGCTTTGGACAGTCGAAAATTGAATATTCATTCCCTCTGCAATTCACGTCATCAAGCCAAATTTGTCCAGTGCCTTTGGAAGATGAATTAAAAAAACAAACAAACAAACAAACAAAAGAAAGAAAGAGGAATGTGCGTTTTTTTCTAAAGACACCCCTGTGGATAGCAGGTGTGCATTGGGTTGCTTGGTTGGCTTGTTGGCAATCAAGGCTTTGGGCACAGTTCAAGCAGCACTTGACATGAAGCTCCCTCATCCCAAGGGGAGTGAGCTGCCCCTTTCAGGAGATCCTCTTTGCTCTCCTGCTGCTCATGTAGAGGACCTTGCTACTGTGCTTTCTGGGTGTGCGTAACCCCCCATGCCAGGCCTGGGGAGGTGAAAGGTTGTTGTGGACTCACCTGCTGTGGCTGTGAAGGCGGAGACCGCATGGCTGTACCCCAGCATTCGGCAGACCACAGTGGCATCTTGCGTGCTCCAGCCATCGTCACATATTGTTCCCCAGGTCCCTTGATGAAGGATTTCCACGCGGCCCCTTCTGCCCCCTTCCGCGATTCGTATAAAATGATTTAAGTTGTCTGACAGTTCAGAAGAGAAGAAAATAACTCTACTGGCCATACAGGCATGAGGAAAAAAGCACACTGAAAGATAGAAGCAGTGACCACCCAAACTGGATGAATGTTCCCATTGCCACAGCTATAGCCAGGGTGGGACCCAAAGTTACTGGTAGCTCAGATCTGAACAATTCAAGGCCCCCTCCTGGGTTCGGAGACACCAGGCTGCAGCTCAGCGCACAGACTCGTCGGTTCTGGTAGCCATGCTGCGGGTTAACCAGTGTGCACTGGTTAACCCACGGGGGGGGACATCGGTCCTGATCTCAGATAGCTTCGACGACAGAAGGCAAGTGAGAGAAGAAGAAACAAAAGTCTAGTACCTTCTCCCTTTTCACCTTTGCTCCCTTTCGTTCCTGGGGAACCTGTTCCAAATTAAAACAAACAAACAAACAAACAAATGTTTTACAGCTGTTTGGAGGAAAATCCAGTTAACCTTTTCCGAATAATTGGGTGTGTCGGAGATATGAGGGCTCCGTCCCCTTGTGAAATGGACCCCCTGAAGTGACTAAGGGTGTGTAAAAGAGTGATGGTAAGAAAAGTAGGATAGCATACAGCAAAGTCTTCCTGACGCGTGACCCAAGAAAAGTGTCACTTGCAAAATTTCATCCATTGATTTGTGAGAAACATAACTTATTTCCACTACTACCTGTAAAATGTCATCTCTGATAGCCTTTGGGGCCTCCAGAAGCAGGCATGATATCTCCCAAAGTACTTGCAGGAAGATCTACATTGTGGGGTTTGTTCTCCAGCTGCTACGACGGAACGGCAGAAAGCCGCTCCCAACAGTCCTCCACATTTCTGTGCAACATCCTGGTCTTGAGAGCAGGGGTGTTTGAAAAGAACCAGTGAGCACTTCCCCCAGAAGCTATCTCCACAAAGTACACATTGCTGTCTCCCTCTGGGGACCAGGAGATGAGACCCACCCAGAGGGCAGTCCCTAACCTGAGATCACCCCAGTTACACTTTTCCCCTCCTCCAGTGGCAAAGCTCCAGAACAGGACTGCATGGAGAAGCACAACATAGACACTAACTTATTTTATTTCTGAGGACTTTCTACTGTTCTGAGTGAACAATTAAAAGAAAAAGCATCTGGAACAATGGTTGCTTCCCATGGCCTGTTGTAACTATAATTTGGGTTTTTTTTTGCTACAGTTCTTAGGGGTTTTGGAAGCATTCTATGATTGGAAGGGAGGGGGGTAAGGATGCAAGTAGCTGTAGCATTGGTCCTTTTGAACTACTTTTGTGTCCTGCAGTTAATGAGGGTTAGTTAAATTGCCTTGGTGTTTCTGATTCTGTGTTCCTAACCACCACATTCAGGTTGCCTCTGTACAAAGCAAAGAAGAACGTGGATCGTTCCAGTTTTCTGTGAGACCAGGGATCTAAGAAAATCTAATGTTTACTTGCATGTTGGTTAGAACATGTCCCAAGGTGTAAATGTGACACTCTGCCTATTCATCTTCTGGGAAGACTGATCTCTCTGTTGAGTTCCCCTAAATGAACTCTGTAAACATGCCCCAGAGCAGCTTGTGCCACTCTGTGATGTACAGTCCCAGACCCAAATGCACCATCAGCTCCACAGACCCCGTGGCAAACAGCCTTACCAGAGAATCCACGGTCTCCCTTGGCTCCTTTTACTCCTGGTTCTCCTTTTGGACCTTGACTGCCATAATCGCCCTTGCTTCCTTTTTGACCAGTTAGGCCTGTGAAACCTGGGTGGAAAGCAAGAAGGTCATTGCCTTTGCTACTTCCCAAGGGAAGAACATGATGAGCATTTCACACTGACACAGAGAAGTGGAATGTGATGTTTAAAGTGTTTTGCATCATCAGAATAAGTTATGCTGCCAAACAGGGGATTACCTGGTATGCCCTGGTCTCCCTTTGATCCCTTTGGTCCTGGAAGACCTGAGATCATAGAAACAAAGAAACAAAAATTTATAAGACAGATGTTTATACATTTATAAAAGCTTATGTAAACCAATGTTTATAATGGATTTCAACTTGTCTCGTTTAGCTGTCTACACTATAGGCATCTATTTCTGAAGTGAGTGTTTTATTTCCCGTTATAATCAGTACAGATAATAAAGAAAATACAGATAGTGGAGAATCATCTTCTCCCGAAGCAGATAAACTTCTGGTCATTTATTTCATATCCTAAACTCCACTGATGGGATAGAGACCCTCCCTCCAGGTGGGTCTTCAATGACCATATAGAAAGCCCAGACATGTAAATTTAGGTGCATCAGACATATGCAAGCACATAATATTGGGCCAGGTAACTCCCATCCCTATCATCCAGGTATCAATGAATGAAGAAGAGTGCAGCACTTGGACTTTTGTCACCTCCTGATGGAGCTGAGAGGTTACGTGCACTACGTAAGTTCAGAGTTAAAAGGGTTGATTCAAGAGAAATACACTGGAATAGGCTCGTACTGCAGTGTCATGCTGATATTTGTGTGCTTGGGACAGAGAGGTGGCCTTCTCCAGAGGGAAGGACAAAGAAAAGGCCTAGGTTATGCACTCCAAGTTGGCTTCTGAAGATAGCTCTTCCTTCAATGCTACAGAGGAGGCCAGGGCAGATGCTTGCTAGTGAATACCCTTCCCCGTCAGATTTATAGCCAGTAAAGTTTGTCATTAGCTCCAGGGTAGGGAGTTGGTTGTTTGGTTCATCTTAAACTTCTGCTTTGTTTGTGCGTTTTCTATTTATAGAAAAATGCAGGCAACGTTGCCTCCTCATGCATGTTACAGATGATGGAAACCACCTCTCCAGTGAGCAGCTACCCCCCTGCAGTCTGGCAGAGGCCCAGGCCCACCACGGCATCCTGGGATGTGTTGGGTCTCCAAGAACAGGACTCAACAAATCTCCTTCTTGATGTTGCAGATCCCTTTCCAGTGTCTGCATGATGTGTGTTGTTGACCCCAAACCTGTTTTATTCTCCTTTACCTGTTAGTCCTTTGTCTCCCTTTTCGCCCCTGAGTCCTGCAGTGCCTGGCACTCCTAAAATTAAAACCAAATCAGTAAGGGTGAAGCCATCACACAAAACGAGGCCAGAGGAGGAGGTCAGTGAGTTATAGGTTTGAGTAGCATTGTACCTGGACTACCACTGGGCCCGTGGTCCCCCTTTTCCCCTTTCTGACCAGGTCTGCCTTCGAGGCCAGGACTTCCCTTAGGTCCAGGTTGTCCGGTTGCGCCTTGAGGTTGAGCAAAAGCAGCACACGTGAAATGCAACACAGTATATGAAGAAGAGCAAAAAAACGTAACTCGATCACCAGCCCCTGCACCGTGCAGATTGAATTAGCTCTATGAAGGCAAAACAAGTGCTGGGTCTCTCCAAACTGCACTCCTCCCCTGGCAGCGCTAATCTTAGTAGCGCAGTGAGTGACGGTCTGGAGTGAAAGGCTGGATGGGCCCAGGTCCTTGCAGATTGCCGGACTTGGGAGCCACAAGTGCTTTCCTAAAAGATCAACCAATTTCTACGCTTGTGTGTGCACACATCAGAAAGGAGGACGTGGCCCTCCATGGTACAGGACCCTTCTTTCCCTCTCATTCTCTTGCACAGTGAGTGGGGTCCAGATGAGACGGCCGAGGCTGCAGGATGGATTTGCACAATGTTGGCATGGTTTCTTCATCTGATCATCTCTTACCCATGCTGGTATCTAGCGTGGCTGCACTTTTCCTTGTCCAGCACCATCTAAAAGAGATCAGTCTTATATCTGTAGAAGAAACTGCACCTTCTGTACAGCTTACCTGCCTGTCCTTTCTGCCCAGGATGTCCAGGCTCCCCCGTGCTACCTGTAACAACATCCTAGCATCAGTGCTAATGAGGCTTACTAAGGCAGCCTTCCACCATGGCATGCGTGTGCTGTCAGTGGGTTGTGCTGTGTCCTCCGCGCTTACCAGTGAAACCTGGCAGTCCTGGGACTCCTTGCTGTCCCTGGGGACCCACGGGTCCACGAGGCCCAGGGTCTCCCTTTTTGCCCATTTCACCTTTTTGTCCTTGGAGACCTGTTGAACAACACAGCACATGTATAAATTAAAAAAACCCAGATTCATTGTCTTCACAGCCAGTGGAGGACCTTCCTTCAGCTGCACCAGTAGCAGAGTTTGGCCTCAAGCCTGCATTTACCATTCAATGACATTCCTGTAAAGCTGTAGGAGGACAGGGCTGGATGGCATCTCAAAAATCGGTCTGAGCCACCTCTGACTCTGCCAGACTGGCCCAGTGTTTGTCTGACTTGCTGTTAAAGGCTTGCAGTGGTGCTATGACACCTCCCCAGTCTATTCCTCAAACCATCCTTGCAACAAGGATGTTTTATTCTCTAGTTTAATATCTCTTATTGCAGCCTGAACACTTCCCTTCTCCTAGCCACAGTGGAAATGAAGAACAGTGTATTCCACTCCTGTGCTTCCAGGGAATTGCCGCATCTCCCCTTAGTCTTCTCTTCTCTGAACAGGTGATCAGTATTCCAAAAGAGCTGAATTGCCTGAAAGTGCCTCATTTAAAGACTGACATCTTCTTCATCCTTCTACTCCAGAATTATCCCAAAATCCTCACCTTTCAGTATTTCTCCTACTTTCACTCCTATTCTTGAGCAGCTTGTGCTAATGAGCCTACTGGAGCATGTGGGATCTGATGGAAGATCTGAGGAAGCTCTAATCAACCTGTCCAACTGTCCTCCCTGGTCTGCACCACACACACCATCTGCTTTATTTTGCTATCCTGCTTTCAGCCTTTCCCCTTGGGTGCAGCCCATGTGAGACCACTGAAAATCAGCTATCCAGAAGATGCCCACTAATGCATGTTACATGGGAGAAACATGGTGCATAACTCTTTTACTTAATGTGTATAAAAGTCAAGCTTATGTAAGATTAAAAAGTTCTCAGAAAAACGTTTTATTAAAGTGAGGACTAGCATCCACATGCTTGTGCATATGAATTATATTGTATTATTTTATACTATGAAAATCCTACTGCAAACATCACTGCTTTAATCTAGGTTGGGCTGATAATTGAATACTTGTGGATTTCATTAGACAAAGGTCATTCTATGAAGATAATTCCATGATGCAGTGTCAACATTTTGCATGTTTCCTTCCCCCAGCCTTCTTTTGGGAGATTTGCTGGAGCGTGACATGAAATGGAATCCCTTCAGATCAGTCTGAGTATCCTGTTCATCCAGCTCCCTCATTGACTGGCAAGCCATGCTCAGGACTGCCTGGATTTTTATGAGACATCTGACCTATGAATACTTATTCTGGTGTTTTAAGAAGAATGAGTTTCAACAGGAATACGTGGGAGAATCTTAAAAATATTGAGATAGTGAAGAAGTCTTACCTGCAAACCCCATCTCTCCTTTTTCTCCTTTCATTCCTGTTTCACCACTTGGACCAGCAGGACCAGGATCTCCTTTGCTCCCCTTCGCACCCTGCAGTCCATGTAAGCCTGCAAGGACAACACCACTTTTCTGATGCTTCATTGGGTATTGTGTCTAGTGAATGCCAGCGGCAGGCCATGCGGTTCAGCTGCGGACATGAGCCAGATTCCACTCTCCATGTATTTGAGGGTGGTGCTGGTGGCAGTGGGGGACTGGCCCACCATGACCTGTGCACACTGACTTTTAAAATAAGACTTTTTCCAGCTAAGTTTTGCTTTTGTTCATATTAGTTTTACATAAGGTTATTTCCTTCAACTCCAATGACATTCCTACTGACTTACACCTTGACTGAGGACACGATTGCCCATAAAATCATCCATAAAGTCACTTTATGTTCATCCACAGAAGTAATTCAGATGTCAGAAAAGCCTTACCTTGGATTCCTCGTTCTCCCTTTGTTCCCGGTGGTCCCTGTAGCCCTGAGATGTAAAATACATATATCAGCTGACACACATCATCTATTCACAGTAATGGCTAAGAAAAAGAGATGAATTTTTTAATCATCCTTTGTGTATGTGCCTTCAGTCACCACTGAGGCCAATCTTCAGCTGGCAGGGACCAGCACTACCACTTGAGTAAAGTCTGTGGATCTCGGTTGAGTGTGTGGCTGGGCAGGGGCCAGCTGTCCTCCAGCCAAGCCCTGCTCATGAGGACCTTTGGGGAGATCTTTCCTGAAAATGCACTGAACGATTGGGCTCTGATGTATAATAACGGTGCTTGGCGGGAGGTGCTGTTTCAATGTTGTAAGTGCAGCCAGGAAGATATGAAAACATGATTTTTAAAAAATGTGTTAATTTTTTTTCTTCAGAAAAGCTCATCGGTGTCGCCAAGAACTAGGGATGGATGAGATACAGACCTGATCTAACAAGGGTTGCATCTTAGACCATCATCATATGATCATAGGAACGCTGGTTTCTCATGACATGGCCTACTCCAATCTCTGCTCAAATTGGAGCCAACGTTCGGTCAGAACTTGCTGCATCCTCACAGTCTGGAGACATTTATCTCCTCCAGTGGGTGTAATTCTACCCAAAACCCCCAGGTACCCAGGGCAGCACCATGTACATAGCTGTAGAGGAGAGCACTTGCACCTGGCTCATTCATGAGACTGTGAGATCGTTTTCCCAGGGACAGTGTGAGCAAGGTCCCAAATCCGTCACTGTTACACACACTGTTCAGCTGGGGCCCTGTAGAAGCAGGGACTGGGGAGGTCTCCTTGAGTTGCTCTGGAGTGAGTTGCACGGCAGGACTTGCTATGGTTGGGGCAGAAAACCTACCTATCCACTGGTCATGGGATGCACATAAGCCCCCTCACTGGTCCTCTCTTGTCACACATGGAGATTTGGGGTGGTTACTGCAGATAATGACCAGGTACAGTTCTTCCATCATCCCTGAGCTTTTCTGGTGGGGTAGCAGTGAGGGGGAAGAGCCAAAATGCTCCAGTGTGGTGGTCACTGACCTCTGCGGGAGCACTCAGGCAAACCAAGTCTCCCGGAGGATCAGTCAAAAGGTGCATTAGGTCTCCTCCTGGCTAGGTCACTGGGTGTCTGCACATTGAGTAGGATCTGGGTCTAGAGACTGAAATCCCAAATCCTCACTTCAGGTCTCTTAGAGACAAAAAAGAGAAAGAGGAAAGGAAGAAAAGTTGCTTACGACTCATTTACCAACATACCTGGTGGACCAGGATCTCCTTTGCGTCCAGGAGGCCCTGAAATAAATATTTAATGGATATTTTTCAGTAGCCAGCACCCAGTGAGAAACATACCAGTACAGGGTTGATAGGTTTGATGTCTGGGCTGAAGACATCACCCTTTTGGAAGGCACCCAGAGCCCAAGTCTATAAGTTATGGGAGGGGACAGAAGCCCAGAGCAGCAAGTGCAGCTGCAGCAGGATCCAGGGGGGCTGCACGACGCTGTGCTCCAGCTTCTCCAGGTGTGTTCAGCTCCCTGGCCAGGGCATCTGGAGCCAATGTCCAGCCATGGGCACTGGGGCATCACTAACTGACAGAAAGACCAAATCTTGCACTAGTTCTTTGTTCATCTGAACTAGGTTTTTGACCCAGCTTTGCCAGTTGTGCAGAGGAACCAGCTCTCCTCACTGTACAGCCAATATGGAGAAATGGAGTCATACCTGCAACCAGGGTGATGTTGTTCATCAGCATCATCAGGTTTGCATTGCTCCTTTTAATTAAGGTGATTTCCTCTTCTAAGGTTCTCCTCCAGTTTTCTTCAAGTCTTATGTGCATCCTGGCAGAGTTTCTCTCCAAAACCAGTTTGTCGGCAAAAGAGCTTTCCAGAAACTCTTCTGCATAGGAGGTATTTGGTTCTTGGAATTTCAATATCTCTTTCTGCATCTTAAACACTGAGGAAACAAAAGGCCCATGTAGTGAATATTCCCTCCCTGATCAGGCTGGGAAATGCTTGTTTGGCAGAGCAGCTCTGTGGCACCTGTGGAGGACACCTGGGGTAAACCACCACACCTGCAGAGGTGGTTTTCATGTGCTGGTCCTTGCTGCAACCAAGAGTGCAGCCAGGAGTGCTTTTGCAAATGCAAAGCACGTATACGAGGTGAGGGAATCTTTTCCTGCAGCGGCTGCTTTGACTTGCAATGTGCAGAGGGGCGTCTGTGCTTCCTTGGAGGTTTCCTATCTGTGTGCTCATCCCTGCTTGCCCGTGACCCCTGAAAGCACCCAGCAAAGCTGTCTTTTGATGTCAAGCCCGCAGTAAGGTTGCAACATTACCTTTGTATGCCAGCAGTCCCTGGCCGGCCGTCAGCAGCAGCAGGTAGATGCTGAGGGCCACCTGAGCACAGCATGTGGATGGCTTTCTTTGGCTTCGAGGCTCTAAAAACCAACAGAAGTAGGGTAGACATCCTCTCACATCTCTCCTGCTACAAACTCTGCTCACTTCCAGCCATTTCAGGCTTTGCCACAATAAATTAGTGCTTTCCAGTGATGGAGAGCAGCAAGGTCCCTCTGCGAGACTGCCAGGTTCTGCAGGCAAGGCAGGCTGCCCTCTTCTCACCCAGGCTTTGCTCTGCAATTCCCTTGGCAGTCTTTTCCTTAGCCAGTTTAGCCAGCTCACTTCCATCGAGACTTAATCCAGCCTATAAGAGGATAGATGTGGTAGTTCTTCCCTTTCTGCATCAGTAAACTCCCTGTTTCCATCGCTTTTAGTTGTCTCTGGCTGCCATTCAAAGAGGGCTGCTCAAAGCACATGCCCTCTCCATCCAGAGCATCTCATACATGCAATTCCAACAGTGATGCACGTATGCATCGAAACAAATGAAAAATCAATAATAGACTGAACTGCAAAACAAATAAAAGAAGTAATAACATTTAAAATAAATTGTCACCAGCAAGTGTTTCTTTAAATAAACTGCTTTGTTAAGTTTTGGCCTTTAGGGAGAAAGAAGTATTTCAGAAACATTAATAACTTCTTCAGACGTTCCGTAAGTTACTCCTAATTGAGTTTTTTTCAAAGTAATGTAATCAGGAGTTTAAAGTCTAAGTTTTAAAGGAGTACAAAGATTTAATTAGTTTTACAATAGAATGATTTAGTCAGCAATGAAGTATTTATATTCAGCTAAAAATTCATAAACTTAATTTTTTTATTGGATTGGGTGATTCCAGTATCTTAACTATTAAGACATGAAAGTTTTACTCAAGTGAAATTAAGAATTTTCCAAAACATGAAAGAACTACTTTTTTCTGATGTTCAGCATCAGCTTTTGGCTATAAAGGACATTTTCACATGCTTCTCTTTAAATGGCAGTTAATTTACTAGCAAATCACTGTAAAAAGCATTTAATATGCAGTATAAATACAATATTTCATTTTTATGTGCTGCTTTTGTTATAGACCAGATAAAATCCATATCAATCCATTTAATAAAAAGAAACCTTACCACTTATCTGAAATGTTGTGGTAGCAGCTGAGGCAAACCCAATCTTGTCTGAAAAACTGCAAGTGTTCATATTGCTCAAATTTCCATCTTCCCCGTAACTGTCTTTAATTTTCATGACAAATTTCTTGTGGCTAACCTAAAGCCTTGTCAGATTATGGACAATAAAGAACTGAAGGGACTTCCTATCTGTCTCCTGATTTGATATGCTTTCTGATATGCTTTTCCTATCTGCTCAGTTTTTATAGACTTGTGAGAACTCTGATGTGGTAATTTGAACAGTTCCTCAAAAAATCCCACAGCTAAGATGTTCAGCTGCTCTTGTGTGCTCACTTGGGGACAGTGTGTCCATGGAGCCCTGGGCAAGATCCTGCAAGAGGTTCAACCCTGAGTTTTTCAACATCTCTGCAGTTTAGTGGGGTTGGGCATGAAGTGGCCATTTTGCTCCTAACACAAGTAAACCTCACATAGCCAAGAAGATCCCAGGTTCAATGTTAAGCTGGAGATCCATCCCATGGGAGGGGAGGTAGACCACTGTGCGATAGTGAAAAACACGTTAACTTGCACCAGGATGACAACTTAGTGATGGTGCATGGCCGAAATGCGAGGAGGGAAAGAATCAGGAGGAGTTGTAAAGGCAAGCGAATGATGGTGGGATGGGGGATGCTGAAGACCAGATGAGTTTAGGATGTAATGGAGAAGAGACATTTGCAGTCTCCTTCCCGAGGCTCTCTCCAGCTCCCTGCTTCCTCCCTAAGCCATTTTCCACACCCACGGACACAATTCCTACCACCCCACACCAATTTTTTGGTCACGTCCTGTAAAACTCCAGCAGACCTCGCCGTGGCATTTGGCATTTTGACATCTTCATTTGTGCCGGGGTTGATTTTGATTTTGCAAAGTGAAGTGACTCACCCAGGCCCGCAGACGAGAGCCGTCGGTAGGCACCGGGCAGAGCCCTCCGCACCCACGCTGCCACCGACACGTGCTGCCCTCTCTGAGGCGCAGGGCAGTCCCCATCACACGGCCTTCTCCTGGGCTGCGGGTCCGTGCTTGTCCGTGGGGCTGCTGGGTCCTCACCGCTTCGTGTGGCCATGGAATAAACTGCAGCATAAAGCTTCAGGTAGACCTGGGTTGGAAATCCACACCCTGACGGCCCAGGGCAGAATGAAGCCCTCTGTTCTGCACCTGATATATAGATCTCTTAAAGTCTTAAACCAAAAATATACGGGGATTTTTAAATCCACTTCTGCGTTCTCCTTTCAGATGTGCTTGTGCAGCTGTGACTTGGTTTGGCACCAGCAGGGAGGAAGAGGAATCCTCTGTTATCATATATTCAGCTACACACTGCATAAGAATTTGGATAATTTGCTTCATTGTGAAGGGCTCAGATACCCCCTTGAATTAGGCTGGTTTGAGAGGTTATCACAGATCATCTGAGCTATAGTAACTCTCTGTGCACCCTCTCCATTTGTGGCATCATGTCCCCACTGGGGTAAGGGCTCATATCCAGGCCATTTCTGCTGGTTTGTGTGGTTCAGCTAACCACTCCACACAAGCCTGAATCCATCTACTCTTGTTGGGCCAGGCAATGAGCAGGGCATGACCACTTATGTTGCCAAGTGGATGTTTATAGGGATGGATGTGATTCAGGTGCATGCAGAGAGCAGATTTACAGTGGAGAGGCTTTTAACGACATTTCTAGGCAAACGCATTTTACTTCAAAAGTATTAAAAAGAAACTGGCAGCTGTAGTTTTCAAAATCCCTTCTAAAAGGCAAAAGGTGCAATGAGAACTTTGTGCCCTCCTTCCCTGAGAAAGAAGTTCAGGGGTACTTTTTCCCACCTCTCATGGTCATGCTGTGGCCATGTCATTCTCAATGACCCAGGTAGCATGGGTGTGAAAGCAAGGGTAGAGACCCTCAATTTTGACAGTCCTGATCTGCACTGCTTCAGGGTTCAAAGTCCAGTTCTCCACTTAACTATTTTGGGAAGGTCAACAGCAAAGTCATGATCCCACCCAACTTTGCCAGCCAGCTGCAATTGCCTACCCAGCTGATCAAACTTAATTCTCCCCTTATTTCTAGTTGATGTCACCCCGTGCACATTCCCATCAGTCAGGTGAGCATCTGTCTGCCTGGGAGTGTTGTGGTGTGTTTCCATCTGGATGTCAGCCTCTGTAAACAGGCAGCAGATTTCCCTGTGCACGTGGCGCCGGGGGGTCTCAGCCGTGCCACGGATGTCAGAGATCACGCACCGACACGCTCGCTCAGCCTCTGGGTGTGCTCGCTGCCGCTGCCCCCACCCGGCTTTCTGCTCTTTCATTTCTTGCTGCACCATCACTGACTGCAGCAATAGATTGACTCTGATTGTGCAACCGGGCTTACTAAATCAGGAAAGAGAAAAAGAAAAGAAACTGCTGATTCAGTGTTGTCTCCCTAGGTTGAGGGTTTGCTGAAACAATGGGATTATTAATAGAATAGCAGTTTCCAGCACATTATGGGGCATGTCTGCTGGGCTGTCAGCCTCATCCTTCAGGCTCTCTGCTAGGAATCCCTGGTCCCTCTCCCTTCTGCTCCTCATCCTGCCTTCCCTGAAATGACTTGACGACATCTCGGGGAAGAGCCTGAAGTCCTTCCGGCTCGTGCTTTCCCTTCCTACTCTCTGACATGGGTGGCTCACGCCGGGCAGGAGGTGCTCCTCGTGCTCTCATTGCAAAGATGCAACAAATGTTTAATAAACAGACCACAGTCACCTCAAAGTCATGGGTCTGGGGGTAACTGCTGGTGGAGGGAAAAGGAAGTGCCTGGTCCCTGGCCATCCCCACTGCCTTTCTCATCTCCTTTCACCACTGTTGTCAACTGCAGACGTTTACCACCACCAAAAGTTCATGGCAGAGCAAAGAGGTGTAACAACAAACTCCAACCTGGCAGCTAAACACAGCAGTTCCCAGCAGTGATACTGCCAAAGAGCTTGGGCAGATGGTAACCTCCTCAGGATAAGCATTTATCCTTTTAAAGTTTTGGGGTATGTTTTTTTTTGTTGTTGTTTTTTTTTGTTTGTTTGCTTGTTTGTTTGTGTTTTTTTCCCCCAATTGTAGGTATCCTAGCTCAGAGGTGTTTCTCCATTTACATACAAGATGGCAATTTTTCCAGACTCATCTATTTGATTGAAGACTGTCTTAGGCATAAATGGGAAGAATTCAGACAGCTTTCATACCTTCCAAGGACAAGGAAGAGACAAGGTGACAACACAAACAGGCACCATGTCAGGTAAGCCAGGGCAGCAACCTCCACAATTTCTGCTGTCATCTCTAGACTGAAGTGAGAGTGGCAGGCAGAAAACGTGACAGACTCCCCCTTACCCCACACCTGCACTCATGTTTCTGCAGATGGGCTTCAAAAAAACAAAAAGTAATCTTGCCCACAGACCACACTGCTCTCCCACAGAAAAAAGTAGCTGTGGTTTGACCTGGGACACAGCCCATAGATGCACATCGCACAGCCAGCAGTGTCCACAGCTGTACAATTGCCTCTGTAGTGGTGGGTTTGCTTGTAAACTAGCTTGGTGGTTTTTTTTCCTGTTTTACCTGACTTTTCAGTCTTTTCTCTTTTTGGAATGAACGAAGTTACTGAATTTTGACATACCAGTCAGCTCTTGTGGTGGATTGACCCTGGCCATCAGCCAAACACCCACCCATCTGCTCGCTCAGTTCCCTCTCCCAAAGGATGGGGAGAAAATAGAAGGAAGGTGAGAAGACTCACAGGTCAATATAATGACAATTTAATAGGGAAAGCAAAAGCTGCACTTGCAAGCAAAGCAGAAAGAGGAATTAATTTGCTACTTCCCATCAGCAGGCAAATAGTCAACCACTTCCTGGGAAGCAGGGCCTCAGCGTGCGTGATGGTTGTTTGGGCTGACATAGGCACTAACCACAAACACCACCCCTTCTGTCTTCTTTCCATGAACTTTTATTGCCGAGCTCAATGTCATATGGTGTGAAATATTTCCATGGGCTGTTTGGGTCAGCTGCCCCAGATGTGTCCCCTCCCTGCCTCTTGCTCACCCCAGCCTACTCCAGCCTTGACACTGTGCAAGTACTGCTCACCCATGGCTGAGCCATCAGTGGGTAATCAACACTGGTTTAGCCACAAATCCAAAGCACAACACCATATTGTGCTGGGCTGTTGTGGAGAAAGTTACTTCCATCCCAGTCAGACCCAGTACAGCTCTCCAGTATGATGGTGTTCATGCTAAAATGTCCTGTTGTTCCTGAGGAAGGAACAATGAGTTTGGTGCTCGTGGACACTGGGAGGCACTGCTGAATTCAGAGACGCCAAAGCAGGTTGTCAGTGATGTGCTCACTGGCAGCTCATACAGGTGCCAGATCTGGGGTGTCCCCTGCGAGCATCCCACTGACTGCCCAGCTCAACCCTGCTCGGCACCCCCTGAAAAAATGTGGATCCAGCTCTAAGTGCAAGAGATGGTGTGGTATGTGGAGAGTTTCCATGCAGAAGAGAGGCTGAGGCCAACACATAAGATCTAAACAACTGTGATTTGTGCCAGGGCATTAAAACAAAACTTGAGCCTGGACCCATATGGGAGCAGGGGCTTTGTGAAGCCCCCCGTGTCCCTGCATGCCTGGAGCTGTGCTCAGGGGGTCTGAATGTTGCAGTAGCACCTGGACACTCCTGGGACTGCAGAGAAGCACTTGTGCTAAAGCAATAAAATCCCCAGTGCTGCCTGGCTGACATTTCTCCTTTCTAGCTTGATGTGTTGCTTGGCTTTGTTGTAGAGATTGAAACCAGATTTTCTTTCCCTTCTATGAGTTATGTTAATTTGTGTTTCATCAGAACTTGCCTCTTCTCCTACTTTTCTTTTTTTTCCTCCCCTTTAGGCTGGATCCAGCTGCACCATGAATTCAAGGAACCACCTGCAAAATATTTTAACGACTTCAACCTGCTCTTTGAGGTGAATTAATACCAGGGCAGCCTCCACAGCATGGTGAAATAGTCAGGCTTGGCTAAGAAGGCCACCCTCAAAGCCAAAAAATATGCTCTGCAAGGCAGCTGCTTCTGACAGGCAACTCTGTTTTCAAGGTCCCGTACAGTGTCTTGCTCCTCACCTCAAAGACAGCTGTCTCTTATTCGGGTAAGAGTGGATCCCAGAGAATGGATGTATCC